AGTTTTAGGTGTACACCACAGTGACTTGATATTTCATATCAAATTGGCTTTAGTTCAGTGGCTACTTCAACAAATATATCAGCTTTCAATCACCCTCACAATATTTATATATATTATGAAATGATCATCATTTAAGTCTAGCTAACATCCATTACCACATAAAGTTATAGTTCTTTATAGACTAGTTTATTTTATGTGATATGCAATAATAATAATCTTAAGTATTAAGTTCATTGTGAATAAAGAAATCCCCAAAATAACATCTAAAAATTAATTCAAACAGGATAGCTAAAAAATAAAATCATTAGAGAAACTAAGAATATTTTTTCAAAATTAATTTACCAAAAATAAGGCAGGATAAGAATAAAAAAAAAAGATGGGACAACTAGAAAACAAATAGAAAGATGGTATTATTAAACAGACAGAAAACTTCAATCAAAATGCATAATTGGCAGATTAAAAGAGCAAAATCTCAGACTACTACTAAACAGTATAAAGGAGGAACTACTTGATACACACAACTTCGATGATATTGAACAATAAAGCTGATCTGAAAAGTAACATACTTTATGATTCCATTTTGTTTAATATTCTTGAAATGATATTATAAAGATGAAGGAGTGTTATTATTTGCCAGGGGTTAGAGAACTGAGAAGAGAAATTGTTGTGGTTATAAAAGGACAGTACCAGAGAGCCCTATGGTGATGGTTCCACAAACCTACACATCTGATGAAATCACATGGTACTACTCACACACACAAATAAGTACACATAAAACTAGGAAAATATGATTAAGCTCTGTAAATTGTCAATATTCTAATATTGATACTATACTATATTTATGCAAGATTTTTATATTGAGGGAGAGATTAGTTAGGTGATGTTGTACAAAACTTCCTTGTAAATTTATTTGCAATTTCTTGTACATGTATAATTATTTCAAAATAAAAGTTCTTTAAAAAGTACAAGACCCAACTAAAAATTTCCAAAAATGACTTAGAATACAATGTCACAGGCAGATTGAAAAAAATGGTAATTTATATAGAAAAAATGAGCATAAGAAAACCTTCAAGAAAAAGAAAGGCATTCGTGATAAAAGGATATGTCATTAAGGAGACATATCATCCTAACTGTACTAAGAGAGCAGAAAACAGACAAATCACTAGTATAGCTGGGGATTTTGACACTTTTCTCTATGAAATTAATATAACAACTCAACAAAAAGTTTAAAAGCCATAAAAGATTTTAACAGTTCTATCAAATGCTTTTTATTGATATTTATATAACAATACACTCTTTGTTCAATACTATACTGGAGGTTTGTGCCACTGAAACAGGCAATAAAAGGAATAAGGATTAGAAAGAAAGTAGTAAAGCTGTATTTATTATGTTCATTTACATAGATAATCTGAAAGATGCAATGCTATTTCAATTAAAAAAAAAAAAAACCTGAAAGAATCTACCAAAAACCTCTAAAACAAATAGAAGATGTCAGAGTTAAGGGACCCAAGGCCAGTAAGTACAAATTAGTTGTTTTTGTGGATACTAGCAACAAACAGATTCAAATTTAAAATGCCATTTATAATGCATCACAATATGAAATACTTAGGAATAAATTAAATATGTGCAAAACACCAAAAACTACAAAATGTTATGATGAAATTAAAGAACTAAGCAAATAGAGAACTACACTGTGTTTATGGATTGGAAGCCTATTGTCATGAGGCTCATTCTCCTCAAATTTATCTAAAGATTTGATACAGCCCCAATAACAATATCAACGTCAACAATGTTTTCATAGAAACGGATAAACCAATTCTAAAGCTTATATAAAAATGTAAAAGGTCTAAAAGAATCAAGATGGATCTGAAACAAGAACAAGCCTAGAAGACTAATGTTGTTCAATCTCAAGCTGTCTTTACTGCTACAGGAACTGCAACAGTGTATTGGTGTCAGGAGAAACACATGAATTTAATGGAGTCCAGAAAAAGACCCAAACCCAAAGCATAAAGACACAAGGCATAAAGTTGACAAATTAGCATTTGAAAAAATGCTCTAAATTATCAGACTTTAATGAAAGAAATGCTCAAACTTCATTGAGATGCCACCACATATCTACTGAAATAGCACATATCAGCTGTACTGTACTTTATTTACCAATTTTAAAAGACTGACAATATCAAATGCTAGCATTATATTACAGAGGAACTGAAACTTTCACTTGTTTGAGAGAGAATGCAACATAATATTGCCACTTTACAAAAGTTTGACAGTTTTTATAAAATTAAACATATATAATATAGCAATCTCACACCTAAGTATTTATCTAAGAGAAGAAAACACATGTAATATGTATTGAAGCTTTATTCATAATTGTCCCAAACTGGGAACAATCCTCATATACAAAAACTGGTAAATAAATTAAGTGCAGTATCTCTGATAGATGCAAGAATTTAACAAGGATGAATCTCACAAAGGGCATTGTGCTAAGTGAAAGAAGTAAAAAACAAAACAAAACAAAACAAAACAAAACTAAGGGTAAAATGCTTTATGATTACATTTATCTAGCATTCTGGAAAGGTAAGACCATAGTGAGAAAAAATAAGATCCATGGTTCCTAGGGACTAGGGGTAGAGAGAAGAGACTAGATTTAAAAGATGGGCTTCGGCTCTCTTGGGTCCTTGATTCTAAGATGACCATAAAAAGAAGGAATAACTGCCCTGCCAAAAAGTGTCACAACCACATACAGCCTATTCACTGCACCAACTGTGCCCGATGCATGGTCAAGAACATTAGGAAGTTTATCATTTGAAGCACAGTGGAGGCTGCCACAGACAGGGACATATTTGAAGTGAGTGTCTTTGATGCCTATGTGCTTTCCAAACTGCACATTAAATTACATGACTGTGTGAGTTGTGCTATTGACAGCGCGATAGCCAGGAATTATTCTCCTGAAACAGAAGGTCCTACTACCCCCACCCTATTTTGCAGCACATATCTAAGAAAGAACTTGTGTCCAGAATATATCTAAAATATATAAATCTTGTAGTAAAGAGACCAAAAACCCAATTACAAAAAAAAAAAAAAAAAAACACCTAGGGAAAGACTCAAACAGATTCTTCACAAAGATATGTAAAAGTAGGCCCTCCCTGGTGGCTCAGTGGGTTAAAGCACAGCACTGAGAATCTGGAGCCAATTCTGCATGAGTTCGATTCCCGCCTGCCCCGGAGGTGACCACATGGTGTGGCAGACCTCTCCTGGCCCACCCGCTGCTCCCTTCTGCAGTGTACTTCATCGATCTGCCTGTTCTGTTCCCCACTCTGTCTCTGGTGAAGCCTCTCACCGCTCCTGAGCCTGTGGCCTGTACCCCAGTTCTGTATGCACAAATAAATAAATCGTTAAAAAAAAATCTTAAAAAATTAAAAAAAAAAGATATGTAAAAGTAGCCTACGAAAAGTATCTCCAAATTATTAATCATCAGAGAAATTTAAAGTAAAACCACAATAAAATACCACTAGTGCTTACTAGTCTGACCTCTTATTTTGTGGGGGAGTAGTATGCCTGTCTGTCGTCTCAGTCATTTCACTTACAGGTTTTACCTAGGCAAAACCTATGTTTTCATATGTACATGAAAAGATGTCCATGGGAATATTTATGGTAGTATTATCCCTAATAACGTAAAAGTAGAAACAACCCAAATGTTTGTCAACAGGGCAGGGATGAAAAAGTATGGCTTATCTGTAACTGAATACTACTCACTGATAAAGAGGGAAAGCTGCAGATATGTAGTGTGTCAAAGACACTACATCAAGTGAAACACCTAGTCACTATATAACTTCAGTCATAGGAAGTTCTAGAACCGGCAAAAATAAAGTATGTTGAAAGAAACTGAAACAATAGTTGTCTCTGTAGGGGGAGAGGATGGAAATTGACTGACAAGGAAGTGAAGGCTCTCTCTGGGAGGTGATGGAAAAGTCTGACATACTAATGAGGGTATGAATTCTACAGCTCCACACAGTCTATGTTCAGTTGGAATTTAAGACCTGCACACATCAATACATGTATTTTGTTCCTCAATTTAAAAAAGTTTTGAGGACTCACTGGTGGCATAGGGGTTCAGTCTCAGTGCTATCCCTGTGACCTGAGTTCGATCCCTGGCCAGCGGGCTAATATGCATACAGCGCAGGAGATTGCCAGTTCTGCTCCCCACTCTGTCTCTGTCGAATCCTCTCACACATACTCCCTGAACCTCTGGCCTACAGCCCAGTTCTTCCATGTATAAATTAATAAAAATAAAATTTTAAAAAAGTTTTGAGAAGTAAACTTAACAATTTAAAACTAGCAAATTCAATAAAAAGTGCTTTAAGAGAATAAAATATAAATTTTATGACCTAATCATATTGAAAACTGAAATCAAGAAAAAGTGGAAAAGGAAAGCAGAAATAGTCATTGAGGTCATCACATACTGAGGGCTCACTAAGACTTCTACCTGTTTGTATGCATTTTCCACTTAATTCCCATGAAACCTATTTTTCATACATGGTGGTAAAAAATACAAGCAACTCTTCCACCAAGCACCTTAGGCATAAAGTCCCTTACAGACCCTAGACGCCAAGGCAGTTTTCCCTCTTTTCAAAATTTCAGACAATAAAAGGTAGATATTTTCCAAAATCCACTATTATTACTAAAAAATATGAACCATAAAAAAATACTTATTACTTTATCTTTATGCTCATAAAACATGTAATATGAGCACAGCATCTTACTTCTATTTTCCTAGGTACCTAGGTCAGGCCTAGTTACCTGACCCTCACAACATGGGAACTAGAGAGCATGATTTGCTTAATTAATATTTTACTTTATGCTCACTGCTAAAATGAGTCCAGTACCACTTCCCAACCAGCTCAACTAGACTCAAGAACACTCCTCCTAGGCGCCTGCATAATAGTGGAGTTTCACAAAAGGCTAAGGGCACTGGGAGAGGGTAAGAGGATCCTTACCACGTCCAGGACAGCACGGAAAGAAACATCCAGGTAGACAGTAGTAGCCTCAGTCCAATCATGAACTGGCCTCACTTCCTTATGATAGTTCTGTAATAGCTGCTGGGTGAGATGATACCGAGCCGAATTCCTGGGATGAGGTGTATCTATGGCTTGGATTCCTAGAAGAGAAAACTTTCATTATGAGGATAAAAATAGGAGGAATTTAGCATCTCTAGATTTCAGACTGTTCAGGACGTGGTACTGCTGGCAGAATGTAGTTTTCAGCTTACCCGAATTTGCTTAAGTACACAGCCCACACCTGGTAGGCTTTCAGGTAGACAGGTATTTAAAGTCAGCTGAGGGCCCAAGTGCTCATCTCACTGGAATCAGCCACATCTTCAAAGATGTCAGCTGGGCCTACAATTCTGTCTTTATAGCAATCGCACATGTGAGAGACAGCATCTTTCTTTATCCCTTTATCACCCCCTCCCGTACATAGAGGAAACCTTCATAGACACTTAGCCCAGACTTAATTTCCCCTGTGGATTTTTCTTTTGATTTTCCATTTATAATTCTACAATTAAACAGAAAACCAAGCAGAAACATGGGCAAATTGGTGCCCCCAAAGATCTGTGCACATTTCTAAGAAGTGAAATAAGTGAGATACCATACAAAAAAAAAAAATCCTTTCTCATTCAGTCTATCTGTAAATAAAATGCTCTGGTCAGAAAATGAGATCTTTGTTTTGGGGAAATTCTCTCTGGTTCCAAGGACAGCCATTCCCTCTGACCCAAGCATCCTGATGTGTAGAAAAGCAGTGATTGGTGTTGAGGTAAGGGAAGGAAAGAGGAGGGAGCTAGAAAAATGAGCACTAACAATTGGAAGTGACAAATTTGTGAGGGCTTTCTCTGAATAGCAAAAAGATATTTTGTTCAGAAGCTTTTCCAACCCTTGGGGGATTCAAAGCTTCGCCTTCTTATTGGACTGCAACAAATTGCACACCTCTTGCCACAGTGCGTGAGTGAAATCTATCTGGAGGGGCCTGTGCATGATTTTCCCTCTGCTCTCAGTGGTTTCGAGGGTTATTGTGATGAGCTGCTGAAGGTATGTGGGATTCAGCAGGAAACTGTAAATGAGATATCTTCTCCCAGTGTGACAATCCTGTTTATACCCATTTCTTCCTGAATGATGTCACGTCACTTGCCGCCACAGGCAGCAGTTTCTGTGATTTATCAATGTCAGTATGAGCAACTTGCTAACCACGAAGCTCGAGGTGCAGTTCCAGGCTCATGGTGGGCAGTGAAATATTCGTTTTCATTGCCATCAGAACTGAGAATCTAATGAGTGTTTTAACTCCTGAACCACTCCCCCAGGAGGATGCCTGGAGTGACATTGGCTAGTCAGGCGTTCAGGACTAAGGTGGGTGGCTTGCATCAGGCATCATTTTTAAGGTTTTTGTGAACTGTGACTGACACAAAAAGTGCTGTGAATCTCTCTACCTGAGACCATTTCTTGTTGGCATACCCCAGGGAACAGGAGTCAAGAGGACAGAGCAAAGCTGGTCTTGGTGCTCTTCCTGTGAAGTTTGCTTTGGGTAACTTCACTTCGACCTCGCTTGGAAGCTCCCAATTCAAGTCCCAGTTGGGGAAACATTGCCATGTGCATGCTGCAATACAGGAAACTACCTGAGACAGAGTTAACACACAATTCTGAGTAGCAAGTGTATGTGTCCTATACCCTCTGCTCATAAGGATCCCAATTCCCCTTTGCTATCTTTTCAGGAAACAATTAATATTAAGGATAAACACATATTTTCAGAATATGATAAAGTTTTGGGTAAAAAAAGAAAATCTGGCCCTCCCTGGTGGCACAGCGTGTTAAAGCACAGCACTAAGAAGCTAAAGCCATGTCAGCATGAGCTCCATCCTGGCCCGGAGGTGACCACATGGAGCGGCAGACCTCTCCTGACCCGCTTGCCTACCCCCTCAGCAGTATATTTCATTGATCTGCCTGTTCTGCTCCCCACTCTGTCTGTGGTGACTCCTCTCACTGCTCCTGCATCTCTGGCCTGTACCCCAGTTCTGTATGCATAAATAAATAAATCTTTAAAAAAATAAGTATAATAAAAGAAGAGAAAATCCTGGAAGCTAGAATTAGGAACAAAAGAGAAACAAGCAATGATAGGAGAAATGAGACACAAATGGAAACGCATTTAAACTATAGGCAGAACGAATTCTTTGTTTAAAAAGGGAAGAAATAATAAATTACATTTCTACTATGAATGCAAATTTGCCCAAAGAGGAAGATCAATTACAGGAGAGAGATTAAGGATTTAAGTGACCATTAAATAACAGTAAATTATGCCCCTTGAAAGCTAATGTGACATTCACACAAGCACTAAATGACTCACAGTTCAGTGATGTTTCAACAGACACTGATGGAAACCATCAACAGACCCACAGAAAAGTCTCTCTAGCCTCTTTGAATGCTAATAAACAGCTTCAAATAATTCATCTGTGAGATAACTGGAAAGCAGAATGTGTTAGAGACTGAGCTACATGCTCAGAAAACACTTTTAGGCAAAGAGATGAAAAAAGATAAGTATACAATAGAATTATTCCTTTACTTTCCTTGTTTGAGTGAGTTACTCTGTCACACCTTATTCTGAGCACTTTGATGAGAAGAACTAATCTTGAATATTATTGGGCAGAAACAGCTCACGGTTATTTTCTGCATGTGTGTTTTCAGGTTAATAATATCTTCCATTTGCATTGCACCTTCCAATTTCACAATGCTACCTTATTTGATCTCCATGAATACACAAAATAAACAGTTAACTTACAAGCAAATTGAATCTATGAGATTAATTGAGTTTCCTGGCTGGTGAGCAGTGGGGCAGGTACTAAGTCGTGCTTCCCGGCCAGGCCCCTTCAGCCCCAGGCACAGCCCCCAGTGAGCAGCTGTGAATTGGTGATCAGTCCAGGGCTTATATTTACAAATCATCTTGGTAATAACTGAGTAAAAGTTCCAAAGGGCAAATTTTTCTGGAACAAATGTTCTCAGCTTGATTTATGTTCAAGCACTGATTATTAGACACTATTAAAACACTTTTTCTGCCACAGTTAGAGCAAAAATCAAGCATAATAGAAAACATTAGAAAACGGCATCATTAAGAATTTCTTCTGTTTTCTTACCTTCATTTTTCTATTTTATCTTACTTAGAGTAATGTTCACAATTATTTTCTGCTAAGAAACCCATTTAGTATTTAATGAAATTTCCTCCGTTTTCATTTTTATAATTAAGATATGCTTTTATCCTTTAAGTTCAACATCCAGGGTTTTTATACTTTAACAATAAGTAGTTATTTTTCTTCTCTACTCAATAAAAAAATCATTTCCAGCTTCATGGTTACCAAATTCCTTCCTCATCTTCATAAACAACTCATTCTATTTCCAGTTATATTTTGAATGAAAATTCAGATAGTGCTCTAGAACTCTCACAAAAGTGGGCTAATGGGAAACTCCATCATAAACTCCAATCCTTGATCTGTACATGGCTTCTAAGAATCTTTAGTGTCCTAACTAGAATACTACTACTGAATACTACTAAATACAATAGAGTTAATACCGGCACCATGTAGATGTAGTTCCATAAATTTAGGAAAAAAAGAATCTTTAACAACTGAGATGGAAAAATGCACAAAATGATGTAAAAATAAAGTATTATATTATTATTTTTTTAATTTAGGGAAAAAGGAAACTTTAAAGAAGAATTGTACCCTCAAAATATGCAAGCTTATAGCTTATAGTTTCTTTAGAGACAGACTCATTCCTCACACAGACCCTGCACAGCTAGCTGGCAAGCCTCTAGTTCTAAAATGACATCCAGGTGTCTATAGCCATGATGTATCCAGGGGATTATTTCTCTGGGCAACTAAAAGCTTATAAGAAACAAAGATGATTTTGGATAATAAAAATCTATTACCCACACATAAAAACAAATCTAGAAAAAAAGTGCCCAATTTTCAAAGCAAATTGCAGCAAAGAAAGCCTGATATCTAGAGAGGCAGAAATTTCTTAAATAATTGGATTTTTACAATATATTTTCAGTTACATGTGAAAAGTGTCACTGTGTGAACCTGTATGTCTAGGCACCTATAACTGTAGGAATGAAATCGTAACAAATCATTGGTCTCCATGTAGGTTCACAGAACTGGCGTTTTACAGATGATGAGCAGAAACAAGCATTTGTGGAGTTACATAGCATAGTGTAAACAAAACATAAGAGTCACCTAGCACAATGCCTCATATAATCATTGACAAGACTTACCTGAAGCAGCCATCAGGATGAAGGGCCACAGAGAAGTCATCACGCCCTTAATGCAAACTTGCCTGTAAGACAGATGGCCACTCAGGTTTTCTTGAAAGGACTCCTCTCCTCTCTGGTCTCTGTTTGCCACTTTATGCTGTCCTGGCTCATGCTGTTTTGTAAACACTAAACAGGATGAAGACAATACCAGCACCACACAGATGATTTGGAATTGATACCATGACAATATCCTTTAGCTTCTCCATTTGGTTCTGCCCCAGATCATGACCAACATTTCAATTTCCCTGGCCGAAGATAGCTAAGTGAATAATAGAATCTAAGAGGAGCCCCTAAGGAAAGGAAATTCCATACTAATATGATTTCCTTAACAGCTTTTACCTAAGGCAATGCTCTTGCTGACATTCAGGACACTAATTTCATTAATAATTGAAATCCAAATAGCTGTTTTAAATCAGACTTATACATTAACATCTTCAGCATTTGACGATGGTTATTGGGCTCTTGAATTACACAAGGCTAATGGAAACCTGGTACTGTCTAATGAAGAACAACTGCTAACAATACAGTGGGAGAAGCACTTTTTGTTTTTCCTAAGTCCATTTAATTAAAAGAAACATTGATTTTTGATAAATACGAATGTTTCTTATATCTTCACTGCCTACAATTCACAGAGTAACTACATAAGAGAGGATGCTTTTAGGTTTACTAATTGAAAATTAGACCTACTGGAGTTTAATAACATTCAATCACTTTCTTCACTTTATGATTGAATACCCATTCACTCGTATTTATTAAGGATGCATAACATACATAACTCTGTCTTCCACTAGTTCATGAGTCCATTAGCCCCTAGTTGGTCTAAAAATAAAACTAAATGTCATGCCATTTCAAATATCTGCCTATTATTATTATTATAAGTGGGATTGTAGAGCACATGTTTAAGTTTCCACAGAGCCCATTGTGGGCAGGGTGGCTATATCTGACTACCTATCTCTAAATTACCCGCTCCCTTTGCTTAGAATCCATGACTTCTCTTCCTCATTTCCATCTAGCCAATAAGATGTGCCCTGGCTGATTGGTTTCCTGCTGTTGGTAAAGAGAGTTACAAGTGTGAAATGGGATGGAAAGAAGGGCCAACCCGCTCACCCTGAGTTGGCTTTGGAGATGTCCTTGTGAACTTGCAGTTTTTAGTGTTTGCAGCTAACTACAGAAATAAACACAAATGCAAAAGTGTATGCACATATATTCCCTAACTCTCCCCATTAGAGGGCTTGGGGTGGGGATACCCCAAATCAATGAGTGTACCTAGCACACCGATCTTCATTTCTAAATATACTAACCTAAAAGGGGAAAATGGAGAAATGACTGATGCTAGGGATGAAGCAGGGAAATTATAGGAGGAATCAAGAACTTGTCTTATAAAGAAGTGCTACAGAGGGCCCTCCCTGGCGGTGCAGCAGGGTGAAGCACAGCACTAAGAAGCTAAAGCCACTTCTGCATGAGTTCCATCCCCACCTCCAGGGAGATCCACATGGCCCAGAAGACCTCTCCTGGCCTGCCCGCTGCTCCCCTCAGCAGTGTACTTCATCAGTCAGCCTGTTCTACTCCTCACTCTGTCTCTGGTGAATCCTCTTGCCACCCTTACACCTCTGGCCTGTACACCAGTTCTGTATGCATAAATAAATAAATAAATATTTAAAAAAAAAAAACAGAAGTGCTAAAAAAATGCTAAGGTCATGATTTAAGGACATTTGGAGTGAGCTTGAAAGTTTCTCCCACTGGCCAGAACTGGGACAATTCAAGCAAGCAAATCAGTAATTATGCTAAAGGATTATAATCCACTAAATAAAATAATAAACCACAGATCCATGTTGATCTAAGTAAAGAATTGAATGGGAAAAAGAGAAACCTTTTTTCCTTAAATTAGAATTTTAACTAATATATGTAGAAGAAATGGTGAAATGTTCATAGTAATGATTCACTTAAGCAATACCAAGTAGTGATTTAAAACTGTTGGTGAAAGTTTGATGAGGAATAAGATATTTACACAAAATATTCATTAATTACAAATTTTTTTTTAATTTAGTGTAGAAGTCTGGCAGATAGCTCCATAATCAAATTACGAGAATTAACACCTTTAGCCAGGAGAGCTGTGTGCTACAAAATGGGAGGAACTGAAAAGACACAGCAGCACTTCTGTTATCATGCAACCAAAAATTCATGACTCAAATCCATGTAGGAGGAAACACAGGATATACTGTGGGTTATTCTACAGGTAACAGGCATGTAGTCCACCGAAGTGACAGGTTGTGAAAGTTAAGGCTGAAAAACCGTATCCAACAAAAGCATATTAATGAGACGTGAGCCTGTAGTACATCCTTTTGTTATAAAGAACATTTTGGGGATTATTGGTGAAACTCATATGGGATCTGCGGATTCCATGGTAGTAATATAGCACCTTTGGATTTCCTGAGTTCAATTGTATTGCTGCTATGTAAAAGGATGCCGTTGTGTTTGTAAGAACGACACACTAAGACTCAGAGGTATGCTGACAACATATGTTTGGAGAGGGAGTTTTTCCCACTATTTGTTCAGTTTTGCCACGCACTTGAAAATATTTCAGAAGAAAAAAGAAAAATTAAATGTAATTTGATAGAGAATATTTGGCACGAAGTTGTGGAAAGTTTGAGAAACACCTTTTAGAGAGTGTGCCTAGATAGATGTACGGGGTTTCATAAAGAGATAAGATCACCGGCCAAGAACTGAGCTGACCTTCAAAGTCCAGCACTTCCTATCAGCTCAGCAAATGGCCCACTTCTACCTATGAGATGAATTAGGACCAGAGAAAGGCAAGCTTCAGGTAGCGTATCTTTGGCAGCAGCACATTTTATGGGAAGGGAACATAGCTGCTTGCCTTTAATGCAAAGGTGTAAACAAGGTGACTACTGATCTTGTATTCTAGCCACCCTTTAGAAAGCCAGGACTCTGAGCCAGACCTCTGGGACATGCTTCCCCTCCCTTTACTCCTCACTTTCCCCGAGGGCCATCTGTTACTGGAAGGCCATTGCTAATGATGTGGAATACAGGTACATTACAACCTTCATTAGCTAACTTAACAACAGTCTGGTTTTCCTGCCCATTACAGCTCTCTGTTGACTGATGAATGCTGACAAGATGTGAATGGCTCTGTGTGAGCAACTTGTCTTCAAAGTGGTTTACATACAGATGTTTCATGATCTTTCCATGACCACCCTGCTCTGCACCCTTGGATGGCTCAGAGGGTTTATCAAACTACAGTCTTGGCTGGGTTTAGCTTGTTTAGTAAGTGCCTTTAGAGCTGGTGTTTCTTCCCACTCCAGTCTTTATTATTTTCATGAAAACTGTGTCTGCTCAGTTTTTGAAGTATCACACATTTCACCATGCTGTTTCTTTAACCCATTAGTCAAGGGTGTCATACCTCCCCCTTAGATATCTCTTTAGGATGGACGAAGGGTATAGGGGTGAACCCCATTCAGATTCTTCTAGCCCATTAGTCTAAAAAAATAAGGAATTGGGATCATCAAGGGCTAAGCTTTAGGCTTCCTAAAAATCACTTGGGAAAAAGAAAGACTTATTAATCTGAGCCTTGAATGTGCCATCCTCTGAAATAGTTCTGGTCAGGCCTATCATTTAAAGAAAACAAGAAATGCATTTTTTTAATGATACTTTTTTTTTAAAGATTTATTTATTTATGCTTACAGAACTGGGGTACAGGCCAGAGGTGCAGGGGCAGTGAGAGGATTCACCAGAGACTGAGTGGGGAGCAGAACAGACAGATCAATGAAGTACATACGCTGCTGAGGGGAACAGCGGGCGGATCAGGAGAGGTCTGCTGCGCCAGGTAGGTCAGCTCCCTGACCAGGGATCGAACTCGTGCTGCAATGGCTTTGGAGAGCTTCATAATGCGGTGTTTTAACCCGCTGTACCACCAGGGAGAGCCCAAAATGCATTTCTTTTAGAAGTCCTTTCTCCACATTCCCATGTTTCTCCATGATTTCCAAGTAAGATATGATACCTCTGACATGGACCACCTCATGACATGATACTTCTGACATGTCTTTTGGAAGAAGTCAGGGAAAAGGGTTTATTATGCAAACATAATAAGCAAGTGTTTATTATGCAAACAGCAACTGAGTTATGTGTCCTTTAAGACTACTAAATAGTTTTTAATTACTGCTATATCAGTAAATCCCATAAATATGCAAATGCAATTAGTTCACAAAATAGGCCTTAAATATCTTTATTTCTTTCCAACAAAGTTCTTTGAAGTTAATCGCCAACTCTCTTTGTTCACTCCCTTGGCAGTCATGCTAAAATTGATAGGAATTTTGACAGATGTACATATTCAAGGGGAACCAAATTTTCTGAGCACATCTGGTCAGGCTCGGGGAGCAAAGCAGAAACGGACACTCCAGCCAAACTCTAATATTTAATGAATAGAGTCCCACATGAAATTTCTTCAGCTCCATAGACTGTCCTCTGAAATAAATACCAACTGCTGGAGCACTACTTCAAGTCCAAAGCCACACTCAACAATTGATTTCTTTTGGCTCAGAAATTCATTCGAATCACATTGCATATTTTTGGATTCCAAAAAGAAATAAACAGAAGAATAGAGTGTCCCTGTTACTCTGCCCCTTGTGGCTGTAAGACATGGGTTCCTCCAAGAAGTCATAGAACATGAGAGCTAAGGTTCTAGTCTCAAAGTCAGACATACCTCATCTGGCCTCCAAGCTCCATCACTTGCTAGCTGCTCATGGTCTTTATCAAACTGCTTACTGTTTTGAAGCCTTAGTTTCCACCTCTTGTAAAAAGGCTGTAAGAAACTCTGTTCAGTTGGTGATGGCTGTATAGTACATGGCCACAAATTTAGCTTAAACCAAAACTCATTTATAAGCTCACAGTTCTGTGGTTTAGAAGCCCAGGAAAAGCATGGGCCTCCTGGGGTCGCATGAGGTGGCTCTCAGGGCAGTGTACTGCAGCTGACTCTTACT